AAAAAGAAAATTGGACTTTTTCCTATTCATAGAACATATGTTACCGAGGGTAAGTGATTTTTTATATTGTAAAGGTGCCTGTAGCTAGCCTAATTATTTTGTTTTAATTATTAACGTAGACATTAATATAAACAAAAATTTAAGGATTTTAAAACAAAACCGCTCATAAAGATAATTTAAACATAAACATACCTAAGATTTGACAAATATTTAAAAATATGAAAAAGATAGGTAGTAGGTGCTTTTAAAATTGCTGTACTATCTCACAAATATTAATAAAATATATGAAAAAATAATTTAGAAGTTCGAAAGTTTAAAGTTAGGACAATAGCGTAAACTCACTTTTTATACTCACACCTGTAATAATTGTATTTTCGACATTAATTAAAGCATTAAGTTGATTTTTATTTATCTTTACTATGTTAAAATGTTGATGCCTATGTTATTCTGTATAAAGAGCTACATTGAAATAAATTGATAACTTTTATGTTAAAATTAAATCAGGCTGACTAAACTCACCTTTAGACAACTAAAACACTGGTTTATGTATTATTACTAAAACATTACCATTTATGTACTGTGGTTTTAATTACATCGTTTTATGAAATTATTTTGCATTATATACCTTGATATTATATTTTTGGAATTTTCGTTGGTTACGGAGACCTATTATAGTTATAGTATTTGATCATATATTGTATAAAAGTAATATTTAGAAGATTACATTGGAACAAATTATTGATTTCTTTATTATTTATTCATTTTATGTAGGTGTAAAAACGGCTTTATATTTAGTGATCGCAGCGCGTGAAGCGCGATTTGATAAACTACAAACAAGGAAACAATTCCCGCCTATTATTTAAACCTTCTCCTTTAGTTTTTCTATGGTAATGCCCATAGCTACCTAAGCGACCCAGTCTGAATGTCGCACTATCGTGAATTCGTTGAACACATCATAATAAAATTTAATAATAAATTTAGCTATAAGAAAATAAGTCACAAATCTGCACGTTGACTGTAGGACTATAACTGTATGTACAAATTTAAGATATCTACCAGAACTTTAAAAATAATGTGTAAATGTAAAGAAAATACACCTTTCTTAACATTGTTAATATATTTCCGCATTTGAATACATAAACAAAAGCTAAAAGTTTGCTAAGAAATTATAAACTTACCTGCATAATTATGTCTCATTTTCAAAACTTTTAAAATAAAGCTCTGATTTAACTTTAAGTGTACCAGCGTGTCTCCAATGCAACCGATGTCAGTGTTTCTACTGTTTTAGAATGCTCTAGAGCCTACTTAATTAGGATCTATAAAAATTAATTGCTATTTCAGTAGTTTGTTATTTTTATATTAATTTTTCAACCTTATAAGGGTGTTCTGGCCCACGGTGCACCGTTACAATCACTACTGTAAAATTACAATGAGAGTTGTTGTTTCTTAAGTTCTTTGTGTTCGATCCAATCAAAAGTTTGCATGTCGTAAGTCTCTAACAAGCTGGGACATGAATGTTTGCGTTATATCTCTTTATATATTGTGATGTGAGATCTGTTGTTCATAATGGCTCCAATGTTTCATATCAAAATGAGTAAAAAAACGTTTATTATATATTTATACGTAAAATATATTGTCTTTTTCATTCATACCTGAGTGTGAACCTGATTTTTCAAGTAATGTTGAATATAAATTAAGTCTTCCGAATAATTTTGTTTTAGAAAATTGTAGTTGTAGCATTTAGAAAAATTAAGTAAAAACAGTTATTTGTCTCCAGCTAGGGAATTTAATTTTTTTTTTAGTTAAATATTTTTCTGTTCAGTTTGAACTTTATTTTTTATTTTTTCCCACGTATTATGACTAGCATAAAGAATGGGACACAACGCAATTGAAGATTCGCTGATTATAAATGAGACGATTAAACGAAACATGCTTATATTAAATATTACTGGTTTTCAAAATAGAGAGTATTAGGAAGTTGAAAATTAATAAAATTATTAATGGCTATAAGTTTTTTATTTCTTAGGATAATTTTACTACATTCGGTAAACATTGTTGGGGTCATAAAATACACATACCAGCAAAACAATTAGTAAAATAAACTTTACCAGTGGCGTACGAAGTGGATAAGTAACACTTTCACTCCCAAAATTTATTTGGACTATACTTTTACATTCTTTGATGGTTTTTATATCATTTATATCTGTATCCCAGAAGTAAACTGTACTATATGTTTTACAAAAATCGTATTTTTGGTGATACTTACATAATTTTTTACGGGGAATCAGAAAAAATACTTTTCAAGTCAAATCCAGACAGCCCGACACGTTAGAACAGGAAATTCTCTATTTTCCCGTATTGTTTGCTTAGTCTTCTGTCGATTTTTGTGATGAGAGGGTATGCTAAAAATAAGCTTGCGAAAATGTTTGTCAACTTAGAGGTGGCGGCGGTAGGTCAACCATGGGAAGGTGACGACGACGACTTTTTTTTTCCCCTCCTGAGCTCGTCTGACTATGTGTCTCCGAATAACACTGAATCCTATTGGCTTATTGTGTTTTACCCCATGTTACTTCATAGCACCCACTCTATCACCTTTGTACCTTGTACAAGTTTGTACAGATCCTTGGGTGAGTGGGTTCTATACGTTATTGGATCAACCTGGGGTTGTCCAAAAAGAGCCTGTCTTTTGCGATCTAGAGCTTCGCATTCGCACAGTATGTGTTTGGCCGTTTCTGATTTCTTGTGACATAGTCGGCACATGAGTTCCCCATTGTACATGCAAATTTTGTTCAAGTGTCCCTTTATTCGGGCGTGCCCAGTCATGAACCCTGTTATCACTTTCAACTGGTTCCTATTCATTAAGAGTAGTTCTCCAGTTCTTTTGGGACATGGTCTGCCTATGAAGACTTTTCCATGTGCCTGTTTTGGGGTGCTTCGACTTGGTACTAAACGATAAGTAATTTTAAAATTTTTTATTTTTCAGTAGCTATTTTCGGTAATTATTAAAATTATATCATTTCACAATATTATGTGAGTCCATAAGTAATTTACCATAATATTAATCCAGCAAAAAATACCTGTTAGGTCACAGTATGCTAAATTATTTTCACAAAAGGTCCGTTCATTCAATTAGGTAATAAACATTGCTTTGTTCTGGTTTTTGTCTTATTATAATCATAATTTTCTTTATTGGTAACACCACCATTAAAGCCTTGAATAAACGTTGTTTTTTTTAATCATGACTATCATGATAACTTTTTTTAAAGGAAAATTCCCATTACTCACTTCTTGTATTGTTTGGTGGTTTTTTAAACTGTGTTATAAAAAGAGCTGTTTTGGCAGTATTCTAAGTAGTATTGTCCCTCCTAAGAGGATATTTCATTTATACGTGAGTCCTGTGTCCGATTTTTAAAATAAGTGGCGGATTTAAAATGGCCTAATTTTTTCATTTATGAACTGATTTGTTTTAAGCTTGAAATTTGGGGTGTTTGTAAGGTCGCTGATTATAATTTTTGCTTTAAACCTTGAAAATTTAAAATGGCGAAAACGTTTTACCGAGTTATAATAAAAATAGTTGTGCTTTAAAAGTGATCTAGAAGTACTGATTCAATTTGTAGGGTTTTTTAAAAGTTGGATTTTTTTGTTGCAGGTGGAGACAAAGTAAATCAGAAGCTACCTGCAGAAGAGATTCCTACCGTTGAACATTTTTCTTCCGATAATAGCAACAAGTAATCTGAAAGTAAACAGGAAAGGAACCAAGTTCCGACAACATTGACTGAAAATTTCATTATTGAGAAAGACTTTGATCTGTTAGTCAATTCAGATGATAGCCTAAAAGATCCCATTCATAACAACACAAAAAGTAATGGGAGCAACAACGTCACTAGCGATAATAAAAGCAGTGATAATTTTGAATAAAACCCTGTTTTTAATGATGAAGTAAGTATAATGGAAGAACAAAGTGTTCGTAGACCAAGTAGGAAACGTCAGAGGAATCCTGACAGCTGGAAATGCAACGTAAGGAAACGGAAATACCATTCTGGACAAGAATATATTTTTAAAAATCAAACTTTAATTCAGCCCAAGACCCTGGGTCCTCCATGTAGTGACGCATACATATTTAAATGTTTCCTAAACATAACGTCGGAACAACGTTGAAATATTTTTAAAACATTTTGGTCGCCATCCAAGTCAATTGAAATTAAAAGGCAGTTCGTGGCTTCCAGCGTTCATTTATTCTAAATCAAAAGAAAGCGTCCAAAACCGGAGAAAGGAAAAACCAAAAACAGTGTAATAGAAAATTCACTTTTAGCATTGACGGTGTTCAAACGGAAGTACGAAACATATTTTTTTCTCAATCTCCCAGACTTTCGTTACAACAACTTTTTCAAAAAAGTGGAAGGTGCAATGACGCAAGGAGATCAACGTGGCAAGAAAAATCCACCAAATAAAATATCAGCCCACAAAAAGAAAGCATAAGAGAAGTCACATATCAAAATTTCCCACTGTTCAATCACACTAGAGCAGAGAACGCTCATCTAAAAATATCTGGATAGCAATTTAACAATTTCCAAGATTAACGAAATGTACAGGGAAAAATGTTGAAAAATAATGATCCTGAAAATTAAATCCCTAAAGCTTAACTGTATTTTGAGATATTTAATAATAAATTTAACTACTCTTTTAAATTCACAAGTAATGATACATACGACAAATGTGATGAATTTCTAATAAAGTTAAAGGATTCTCATGGGGAATAAAGGCAAAAAAATCAAGAAAAATATGATCAGCACTTGAAAGAAGCGTCAAAAAGGTACGACCTGAAAAACAAAGATAAAATAAATGCTCAAAGTAGCACAAATAAAATGTGCCCCACGGTAGATCTGGAAAAATGTTTGCCAACGCCTGCCTTGATAAATGCTCAAAGTTTTTATTTTTTAAAACTATGGACCTTTAATTATATAATTAGAGACACGACTAAGAACATTACTGCATGTTGTATGTGGGATAAAAGTGTAGCAGGTAGAGGTGGCAATGAAATCGCCTCATATTTGATGAAATATTTGGTAACCAACATTGAACAATCAACTGAAGAAGTAACAATTTGGTCCGATAATTGTTTGTGTCAGAATCGGAACATTAACGCAATTTTGGCTTACGCCGCTCTTTTAAAACTAATTCCAACTTTGAAGGTGATACATCACAAATACCTGCTAAGAAGGCATACCCAATTTGAAGTTAACGGCGATCATTCGCTTATAGAGAGGACCAATAAAAAGATGCCTAAATTCCAGATTAAGATGCTGTGGGATTGGAAAAATTTGTGAGACTGGCCAGTACAAGATTTACTGTGGTTAACATGGATATAACAGATTTTAAAGATTTCTTGTCGTTAATTAGTGGCACTAACGCACCACTTATTCAAAGAAAAAAATAAGAAAACGGAAAAAAATTTAAAATATCACAGGTGGTTCACCTGCAAGTTCGGTCTGAACAACCAGGCAAAGTTTTCTGCAAGACTTCTTTTGACGAAGAAGATTTTAATGTCCTGGATTTAAATCGAAATACACGGAAGTCTGTGGGATTTCCAGTCGAAATACTAGTTATTGGAAATGCCCCAAAACCTATTGGGAAAAGAAAGTATAAACATCTTCAAAACTTATTAAAGTGGATGCCAAAAATAATATTCCGGATGATAAAGATTAGTATTAGGATAGGTTACTAAGACCAAATTCTTTTTCTTTTATTATACTTTCATTTTATTATTGTAAAGAGTTCTTGAACTTTGTTCTTTGGTAGGTTGACCAAATATTTGTTATATTACTATAGTTGTAGTAGCTTATAATTTGTGTTCATTTAATACGTTTTTTTTTACAATACGATCAGAAAAAATACTGGCTCATGCGCATTTTTAAAAGTAAACTGTAGTCACATCTGCTGAAATTTTTAATACCAACTCCAATTTTTTATAATTTTTTTTAGAGGTTAACTGTACTAAAACCAAAATTATAAAAAAAATATTTTTTTTTTGTTTTCGGCATTTTGTTTCTTATACTAAGATGTTCATTTGTTCCAATTTTTAAGAAATACGAAACAATAATTCAATATTATATGCCACATAAGTTTTTGAAGAGGGCGTTCAAATTTAGAAGGAATGAAGATATTACTTATTTATGCCGTACGTCAATGGCAAAGTTTACTTAACTGATTTTTTGCTGATTGGTGTCTCTTATGACACCAAAAACGTTTGCTCAGTGCAATTATATAAAAAAAATCAAAATTACAAAATTAAAACAAAATGAATATCCACCTTTCATTGTGAATATTTTCTAAAACCAATCACTTTATGAGTACATGATAAGCGTACGATTTATATAAAAAATATGAAACAACATAAAATTATAGTCCAAATAAGTTTTTGGACAGTAACGTTAAATTAAGAGCGGATAAAAGTGTAAATTGTCCTTCCCGGAGGCCACTGACAAAGTTTATTTAGCTGCTTGTGTTACTGATAGGTGTATTTTGTAACACCAAAGATGCTTACCGAATATAATATAATAATAAAGAGAAATAAAAAAATTGATAGCAATTAATAATTTTTGAATTTTTAATTTAAACACCCTGTATTTCAGAAACCAGTAATATTGTATCTAAGCACTTTTCATTTTATTGTTATCTGCAAAACCGATTACCACACCTAATGAGTTAAAAGGAAATATATTATTATTGTACAAGTTAAAAGGAATTAGTATCATTGCGGTACATTGAGGGACTCCAAATGATATAATTTTTTCTCTACTGAGTTCTCCATTGATCGTAACATGTTTCTATTGTTCCTGACATGTTGTTATATTGTATTATTTTGATTTGTTGGAGAAGGCTTAATACATTTTTGAATAGAAAGTGATGATGTATATACTAAAATCTTTGCATAAGACCCCCATGGGCGTTGTTACACAATTCTATAGGGAGGGGCAAAATTTTGAAAAAAGAATGTTTATTTGTTGAAAAGCAGAAAAAATTAAAAATAAAAGAGCAATACAAATTAACAAAAGTTTTTAATAAATAAAATAACCCAACAAACAAAAAACACATATTTTTAAAAAACAAACAGAAGGTGTGATGTAAAAGAAAAATATGAACAAGAAGACAGAGCCATATATAATATAAAAAAAATAAAATATTTATAGAAACACAAAAACAAAAAAACTCACTCAAACACGTCGACGAACACTAGGAAAACGCAAATTTTTAATTTCTTCTTCCTCTACCTAAAATAATCGATAACAGAAAACATGATTTCTTTTTAGTTTTTTGCGATTATTTTTCGATGTACGTTCATCATGCAAAGCGCAGTCAGCCTATTTTCATTCATTATTTGCTCTGTGCGTGACAGCAGCGCCAACTAATTTATGAACTAATGGACGATATTTGCGTATACTGACAATACAATTTTTAATGGAATTAAAAAATATATATGTTGATTTTAATAAACGTATATAGATTTGTGAAACAAGTGAAAAAATTAATTATTATATATTTTTATTAGGTACTTCAGCTAAAAAAAGTAGTATAATCAATATTAAAACATAGGCAGGCAATAATATTTACGAGAAAACGTATGATATGTTACCTAAGCCTAATAAGCTGTCATTGACGAAAAGGTTAAATAATGTGAAAATAAAAACATTACCATTATATAATAACGTAGTATCAAAACGTATTAACAAAAATAATTGGTAAATTTGCGATTGTAATTTATATTTTATTTATTTTTAGTTCGAAAGAACCCATAGAAATTAATAATTAAAATTGGTTTCCTATCAATAAGTCACAATATTGCATTTCAGCCACACACAATAATCAAAGGCAGAAATCTAATCCTTGCTCAACATTTAAGAGTTAAGGGATGTTGAACAACATTGTAAAATAATAATTAATTATTTAAAACCTTTTAATTTTCTGATGTCTACTATTTCCAGTATTACTGTTATTATTACAAAAATAAAGGTTTTTTTCTTCTTATTGTATAGATATCGATTTATTTCTATGATTTAATTTCCATTTTGCTACTGAAAATTTATATAATTTACACTTTTTTATGCTAATATTTTTACAATATACATTACAGCAACTATTATTGCTTATCGCCTTGGACAAATTTCGCTTGTGTTTGATTTTGTAGGTTTTATTGGTTTTTAGTAGCATTGCTGCATTTAGTTGTTGTCAAGTCAACTAGTGTCAAAGTCATAATAAATACATCTTTTAATTAACTTGTCTCATTTACACAGAATATTTAATTTCTGTGCTAATTTCACGTAATAGTACGTCAATGCGCGTGCGCCTATACTTAATTTAGTACTAAAAATTGGTATCGTTGCAAAAGGAAAAAAATATTTTTAGTTCTAAATTTAGTACTAAATTAATAACTTAATTTAGGGCTAAATTTTAGTACTTAATTTAGTATTGTGACGTACAGCCATTATACGTTGTAAAGTCGTAAAAGCCAGGGGGGTAACTGCCCCCCCCCCCCCCAAACGACGCATATGATAAGACCTTTTGGTGGAAGGTTAAGTCAGAAAGTCTCTGCCCATTACACCTTACCATACTAGGACCGTAACCGTATCGACACATACAAACAAATATTCTTTGCATGTTTTGATATGCGACAACGCCCACTAGATCATTCCGTCACCGGCCAACATCGTAACGTGCCATGACAGGACCGTAAAGAATTTCACGGCGAAAATATTTTGCAGGTACCGATACGAACGGTCCATTACAAGCTATGTTGTATGTGAGGAAAAAACGCTCTTGGTTCGCTGCAGTGGGCCCAGTAGTGACCGGAGTGCTTTCTTTCGTGCCTGACACGTTCCTGTTATGGTCATGGTATGGTACGCTGTAGTGGGCAGAGAGCTTTAAAACAAAAGTAAATATTAGGAAATTTAAATATGAAAGCGAAGAAACCCAATTAAGAAAATAAATAAAATACAAAACTAAATATTACTGTTTAATTTAGAAGTCTTTTTCGACAGGTTTGTCATTCTGTTTACCTAAAAGATTATAAAACTTTCGGAGCGTTCATAGTACAAGGGAAGAAGGAAACGTATAAAAAGTTAACGCCAGGCAATTTGCCCGCCTTTGTTGAAACTTTTCTCCAACTTTTTCATTAATATGTAAACGCATTATTTTTGTTTTGAATTTCTTGAAATTTACATGAGGGCTCTTTGCTAATTTTTTTTTACTGCTGTTTAGGGGTAATTTTCTGAAATAACTGGACGGGTGGGAAAAATTATTTTTTTATTTCTTTGCAGATATAACACAATTGAGAGACTTTCTGTTTATAAAAAGAATTTAAGTTAAAGCTTGAAGTCTTTTACATCTTTAGCTGTTTTACAGTTACTTCATGACTAAACACTGCGTATTTAAGACAATATGTACAATTATTTATTTTGGGCATTTAAATTGTTGATTGAAAACGAATACCTTTTTCTCCTATATGTTACTCTGCATTCCCAGCAAGTTGCATACTACTAAGTTAAGTAATTATTATTAAATTTAATATTGTGCAAATTATTCCTCAAAGTCACTATTTGTTTAAAATCGAAGTATATACCGATCATGCGAAAGAAGAGTGTTACAACTCAAAATTTTAAATGTTTGGTATCTTTATAGAAATTATCTCTGACAATGACCTAATTTTATGAAAAAAAAAAAAAAAATTATAACTCTAGTCTTAATTCCACCTGAAAGATGGCGACATGTAATGTAGAAATTTCTGCGAAATTTTACATCTGTGGGTAGGATCCGATTACAATAAGAAGAACACCACTACGTTATAACTATAAGAATCAGGGGACCGAGATGCTTGATCCAGGTATTCCGGAAGTTGATTTATCAAGAAATTCATAGTTGATTGAAAAGTGTGTTGATAAATAATGGTAATTTGACATTGTCACTTTAATATAGTAGGCCGTAATTTGTAATCTTTGACATCTAGGCGATTTTGTTCATTTAAATTTTCGACCGAATTCTGTATCTCGGGAACCACAAAAGTAGGTACCACTATTTTGGTGTCATTTTGCTTCTCTAAGTGACCCTTGCTTATATCTGAGTCCGATAAGGTTTTGGCTTTCTCTATCTCGAAATCGCGGCACGGACAAACAGACATTGGCTCTTTAATATAGTATGATTTTGAATTTCAAATATGTACAGGGTATCCCAAATTGTTTTACCCATGCTACAACTTCTAAACCATGCAAGATAATCGAACCGGACACAAGTCATCCATTATAATTGGCGGTATACTTTGAAAGAAATAAAAATT